TATATATATATATATATATATATATATATATATATATATATATATATCGAAAAATAAGATGAATTCCTACCAGAGTTGAAAATTTATTGTTTTCTAACTCGTTGGATATTTCCTACAGTACACTGTTTCAAATAATAAAAGCAATTTTCTCTTATGAGAAGTTGTGAGCTCGAAATTCTGAAAAATGTGTCATATGACACAATATTGAGATCGAAAGTAGCATGAAAATTTCAATACGAAAATATATAGACCCAAGACTCGGAAATTTATCTCAGAATTCGAGAACGCGTACATTTGTACCATCTGTTTGCTCGTGCGCGATCAAATTTTCTTAACACACCAACAATCCAATTAATTATCGGAGCATAAGAAAACCTTGAAGGGATGTGAGTAAAACAATAGCCGGGAGGAAGATATTAGAGATCGCTGGAAGAAAGGGAGGACTGAAAGGATTCGCCCGTTCCGTAGAGCCCGGACGGAAGCGGATAGTTCGAAACAAAAGCCTTCGTGTCTGAGCATACACGTTATATAATCGCGGTAACGATATTAAAAATTTTGCAATCAAGCCTTTCATCTTCTTAACAGGATTCGTGCTTACGAGAACCATTACTAAGACCCATTTAAACAACGGCGACACAATGCAGCATGACGTGACGGGAAATTGTATCGCCTGTATTTGCATAAGAGAGAGTCCGCGAGATCAAAATTCACATCTTTTATGTAGCTCGCGTATATGTGCAGTTCAGATCGTATCGTTCTCACTCTCACACACAACGTTCATTCTTGACGGCTGAGGTTTTGAGAAAAGAAGATTCCGGAGGTGACACGGGCGAGAGTCAGACATCGCGCAGGCATCTTGCAAATTTCAAGAGTTCACAGCACTATGCGCTCTGATAATATTTTTCGTAATTAAGACGATGCGCGTCTCGACGTTGAAATGTCCGATTTTCCAGGAAAACTAATATGCTCCAGCGGCTGATAATGCGGAAGTAATACCATTAATTAGGTGGTCCGCCAGCGTTCCGATGCGAAACGAGAACCGTCGAGCTTTCATCTTCACGTTAGCAATTAATTACCATCTATCAGTCGATGTAACGTGCTAACGAAATTCCTCAACACGTAGCAGTAGCAATCGGAAACAGGTACTCTGCGCATAAACTCCGTCCAATAAAATAAAACGTTTATTAACACGAAAAATATAATAATATAAGGGATATTAAAAAACTTAGAGATATTAGATAGAGGAACTAATACGAAATAACACGATGGAATATTATTTCGCCGTGATATAACATAAAAAAACAACTTTAGTCACAAGGTACTTTTTTTGTTTCCTATAATCTCGTATTCTAAGCGAAAACTTTTACCGTGAGAATATTCGTCTTCTATAAAGACTATTCAGAATCGGAAGTCTTCTTCATGTTATTCTAACTTTTTTCCTTCTTAATTAAGAGAAATATGATTTTCTTGAAGCAGAACGTTCTCTTATGCGCGACAAGGAAAATTTCCACTGTAGATAAAAGACGAAATTTCTTCAACTTTAAGAATATTCTTCTAATTTCAAGAATTTAAAAATATTGTACTGAAAACGCTTTTCTTCTGGTCTCAGAAGAATCCTCTTGAGCCTCTTGATACATTAAGAGAAAAAAATCTAAAAAACAGTAAATAATTATTTAGTAGGCATTAATATTTACTTAAATATAAATTATTTTATTTAAAAAAATTTATTAAATTATTTTTATTTTATTAAAAAAAACAATTGTTTTTTTATGGTTTTAAGAAAATGGATATTTTTTATTAAAAAAATATTGTTTATCAGTATAAGTTTAAATACGTTATTAGTATTCATTACATACACACAAAAATTAATATTTTTTATCTCTTACATTTTTTCTCGCACTGTATGAGGGTAAAATCCTGTAAAGTTCAGAGGATTCTGTAAGGATAAGATTGTACTATTTTGAATGAACGTCACGGGAAATGACGAAAATATTATCTATCATTTCAGAAATTTCGCCTCTGTTGTATTACGTTAGTTCAGTGATCGAATTCAACGTTACATATAGCCGCAGTAATTCGCGCATCGTAATTTCGCTGATTAATCGGCGTTGCGGCAAATTTCGCCGGCGAATACATTACTTTCGTATCGCATCGATGAAACGAAGTTACATGAGCCACACAGCGAGCGAGCAAACGAGAGAGAGAGAAGGCCACCCACATACCTACCTACCCACCTGGTAGCAATTAATTATCACCCGACCATGTAACGAAATTTCTCCCGACGGACGAGAGCGACGGGCCAGTGGAATTAAAGTTGCCGTAAAGTAATGCGGTTACAAGCGGATACCACGACGGAACATCAAATTCTTACAGAGAGATACGGTTATTCTCGTCTCGACCCTTTTCGCAAATACGGAGAGAACGGAGAAAAGAATCGCGATCCAGCCAACTGTCGTACTGTCGACCACACCTCCGCGCAAAGTTTTTCGCTTTAAAATCGCGACGTAACGACTGTCTCCTTGTCTCTCGAGCTCGCAAACAATCCAACTGCTGTAGCGTGCTGTGGCTAAAAGGAGGAAAAAAGAAAATCGCTGAGTACGAGATCGCCGATTCATATTCGACACACACTCGCCGTCGAGACCGTCACGCAGCCTGTCGTCCGATAAAAAGCGAACTTTCCTGATCAATAGCGGGTTTCTGTCCACGGCCGCGGTGACGAAGTTTCGCTATCGATTCCGAGATTAACGTTGTTCTCGCGTCCTCGACATCGTGCGGCATCGTGATGCATCTCTCGATTTATGCATCCGATAATTACGAAGCGCTCTCCGTTCGTCCGACTTTACTTGCCTCTCCCCGTCCTCCTCACCCTGATCAGCAAAGAAGATCAAGCCGTTTCTTTCAAAGGCTTATTTCCTCCCAAACTAGTGAAGATCAAGCCGTTTCTTTCAAAAACTTATTTCCTCCCAAACTAGTAAAATGTAGACTCTTAATTCACGTGCTAAAAAATGTTTTAGAAATATGAGGTATAAACACTGTTGAATCATTTCAATCATCTTCCAAAAACATAGAACTGCCAGATTAAAGTGCCAAAACGTAAAATAAAACTGATTTTTCGTTATATCTCGATTCTTTGTATCAAAATTCTAATTGCGAATGAAAAAAAAGATTCAGACATAAATATAGCTAATCTCTAAATGTGATAATTTTAATAAAATCTTGAAACTATTAATGATTTTATCCGTCTTGACTGAAAAAATGGTATATTCTCATATAGGTAAATAATTATACTTTTTGACAAATTTAAATATATAATATTTTTTCTATGGAAATATTAATTTTATGAAAATTAATTTCTTAAATTTATTTAAAAAAAATTTTTTTATTTTAATTTAATTTAATTTAATTTTATTTTATTTATTTATTATTATTTTATTTTATTTTATTTTAATTAAACTCGCATTTTCATCGTGTTTCTTTCTCTATTTGCAGTCCAATGAGACATTCGAATGAATATTTTTGCGACCATTTCTGTGCACGATTCTATTTTGCAGACTTGAAAGCATATTTAATATTTTCTGTAGAATTTTTTACTAACACTTTTGCAAAATGTAGATGAACAAGGACGAGAACGACCGCACAGTGTGCCACATTGAGATGTCCAAAACATATGTACCACGTAAGGGTTGACATCCATAAAGCATGGGGATAATATTTTGTCCTCCGGAAAAACAGCGGCGGCAGCGTAAAAATATATCGCGGAATTATTCAACGTTATACGCCGCTGATTAATGAGTGCTCAACACGCGCTTCAACGACAAAATTCCGCGGAAAGCTCAAGCGCAAGCTGCATACACTTAACGGCTTACGGATGCGAAATGCGTGCGCGCCTCTCGCGCGTTTCGATCGCTCGCCGTTAGCGACGCTCTATTATAGCACAATCACAGCCTCCCTCCTCCCCCGTCTCCTGCCGGTTTCCGCGTAATGCATGTAATTTATGTAGAGCAGTAAAAAGGGTATTTATGCGGCAAATACAACGTCCGTATCCGTATGCCCGTAATGCAATTATCGGGCATCGGCCAAATGTACAAATGGATATAATATTCATGAGCTCTCTATATCATCCTAATTTTAATTAAATATTTGATAAATATACGCGTGCGCGTGTGTCAACGCGTGGATGTAAAGATACAGTAATTTTTAACCAAATCCCATGCGAGGGAGAAGGGGGAAGGACGAACGGGGAAATCAACGATAAACACAGAAGATATCGAAGCAGGAAAAAATATTATGTCTCACATAATTGATAATTCGCGAACGCCAATTTTAGGGGAAGAGGATGGGTAAAAAACTCGGATATATTTGAATATAATGGCATATCTCTCCCTCTCCTCTCTTCTCCTCTCTCTCTCTCTCTCTGTCTCTCTTTTTTTTCTCTTTATGCGTAGTAAAATGGGGAGTGTGGGAGAGAGGACAGGAATGGAGGCGTCGCGAAGATTAAATCGTTCGGTTGCATACTCAATTACGCCTGCATAATCGATACTACGTCACAGCTCTGTAAAAGCGGAACTTTATAATTAGCAAATGTCGCTCGTGTATCGGGATGAACCTTTAATATCCGTTACACGGAGTATTCTCGGAGTCTCGATTAAACTCGCCGCGGCGTACTTATTTTCCTCTGTGCTTCTTTCGATATTACGTCTACTCCCTCTCCTTCTCCTTCACTCGTAAAGAGCTTTATGACGCTCGAGATTTTGACTTATAAAGCGCTCGAGTAAACTGGTATCGTACATATTAGACGATGTTTAACGTGGAACGTTTCAAGCGTGCACGATCTGGCATGGTTTCTCTCCCATTCTCCCCTCTCCTAATGAATGATCATCGTATACCTTCCTTGTGTTGACGTTGCCATTAAGTAAGACCGTTATATACCGACCTCACTTGAGTATTTTTCTAATTTTCCAGCTTGCAACGTATGGAGCGACGTCACGCCGCGAAAGTATCGACCACCACGCATCGGCGACATTCCAAAGTAAGTAACTTTCATGTAGATAGATTTCCCGACACAACCGTGATTCAAAAACTTGAAAGAAAGAGCGACGGAGAATGAAAAAGTGAGAGAGACTCGACTCCACTTGAAGAACTCACCTACGAGGGTGGTCTGAAAAGTTTCCGACCTAACAAAGATACAAGTCATTTTTTCTGAAAATTGTTTTTTATTTTTCAACATAGTCTCCTTGTAAATCTACACACTTCTCCCAGCGATGCTCCCATCTCTGTAACCCGTCGAAATAGTACTCGGCGTTTTTCTCTGCAAAATAATTGTTCACGAAGGTGATTGCCTCTTCATTTGACGAAAATCTCTGTCCTCCGAGCGCAATTTTTAGATGAGGGAACAAAAAGAAGTCGCTTGGGGCTAGATCTGGTGAGTAAGGTGGATGGTCAAGCAGTTCAAACCGTAATTCGTGGATTTTCGCCA